AAATTTTTAGACCTGGGTAAAAAATCTTGTGTTCTGATTAATTTTTCTGGCTGGACAGAAGTTAGAGACAGGGCTCCCAGGCCCCTGTTTTCAAATACCCTGCAAACATCTCTGCTGTCTCACAAAGCAGAGCAGTGGCCCGTGCAGGGGGGGGAGGGAACAGCACGAGTCAGCCATGTGACCCCATCACTCCGGGGGCTGTAACAACACAACCCTCCAACTTCAGAGCACAGCCTCATTTCAGTAGGAGAAAAGGTAAGAGAAGTTATGACAAGGCATATTATGAATTAAACAGAATTCATAAAGGCAGGGGTTTGTGAAGCAAAGCAAATTGCTCTCGAAGATGCTGTTCTGTGAAGAACAGTGACACATTATGACCACAGGGCCCAGCGAAGATGTGTGATTTGGGATCAGGTCGCTATCCTCTGTGACCTCTGTCCAGTGTTGCCAATTTATGTGACTTATCGCAGCCTTGCTTGCTTTCTAGATGGGCAGCAACAACCACGGAGGGCCACTCAAATGCTGGGTGTGAAAGACGGAAAATTAACATGGCTGGGGAAACCAGGAAACACAAACACAGATTGCGTGCTTTTTTCTTTTTTCTGTTTAGAAAGAATTTTGACCCAAACTTAAACGAGTCACACCAAATGCATGCTTTATGTTTCATGTGTGAAACCAGCCAGGACCTGGGACCCTCCTGTCGAAGTCAGAAGTGCACCCTGGGGGGAGTGTGTGGGTAGGGGGTGGAAATGGTTATGGACTCAGATTCTTAAGTGATCTCAGAAGTTAGCAGATTTCAACCTTCTAGACAAACTATCGTGGTCACAGAATCTCACTGGTCTAAATACTCTGCACGAGCGCCACTTTGGTAAAAGGATCTCAAATTGCTGTCTTGAGAAATAGCCCCCACAGGGCAGCTAACTAATGAGAGGAAGAAACACATTTTCATTCCCCTATGCCTACACCCCCGCCTCCCTCACTTAATTCACTTCCTTGTGTGCAAGAGGAAATACGGAAGCAGGGTTGAATGGGGTTATGTGTCTGTGAATAAGTGCCAGCATCTAAGCAGCCTAATGCAAAAGCTAGGGTGCTGTCTTTCAATAGGATGTTTCTCACAAGGGGAAGGAAACACACCCATCAACACCCTTCATCTGTACAAAACACAGAAGAGCTTCTCTCCAAAGAAGGTAAAATGGAGCTTTACTGGGTTGTGGAAAAATGAAACGTGACCCTCGTATGAAAATTTTAGCTCTATGCAAAGGGAAGGAGATAAAAGGAGAGGAGAGAGGGCAAAAAACCTATGCCAGAGGAAACTCTCTGACCTTCCTTAACACATGTTATACTCACTTTGCTTAAGTAGCGGACAGAATGCACCATGGTCTTTACACACTTTCCCACCAACAGAACTACCTCTCCTAATCATGGGGTAGAAATACAGTTCTGGGGACATACATAGTAGACAATGGTCGAGGTCTAGGCTGCAAAGATACCTCAGATGTGAATGATGCGAATAAGAAATACACCATGATTTCAAAAACAGGAGCGGCTATCACAGGCTTGTGTATACGCCTCCACGTGACGGACAGTGCACGTGGCCAATTGCCAGTAATGTGGGCCTGAAATAGCTAAAGTCGAGCTTCAATAACAAGAATTAATCTGCTTGCAGAGAACCTACTGTGCTGTTCTAGAAAGTCAGGACAGCAGGGTGACAACTGAGGCCCCTGCCCTCATGGAGCTTACAGTTTACCAAGGACACAGGCAACACACTGTCAACTTGGTGAGTAAATGAATGTTTAGATAACAAACGCTTTGCGAAAGCTGGGCAGGTTGCCACATGAAACAAGGAGAGCAGAGCCAGCCTCCACGAGAAAAATTTGGGCAAAGGGATGTCTGAGGGAGTGTCCAAGGACAGGGGACGAAGCACAGCCCTGAGGTGGGAGGGGCCAGGTGAGGGCCTCAGAGGGCAAGCTGCCTCTCTTGGGTCTTAATTTCATCGTGCACACCTGCTTCATAGCACGAAACAGGGATGCAGTTCGTGTTTACTGAGTTACTTAAATTCCAATCAATACCAGATTACCCAATAACCAAACTGAATCCAAACCACAGGCTAGGGCTTTGTGAGAAAAATGAACACAAAATGTACTGGTGGAACATATCAGTATATTTTCCTGAGAGGAGTTGTGCATCAGATTCTCCAATGGGCTTTTCTGAGTCCCTCCCCAGCTCCCCAAAAGTTGCACATCCCAGAGTTATTTCCAGGAACGTACAAGGAAAGTGGAGAAACAGGTTTTGTTACATAAGAAGGAATCCTTCACACAGAATTTACTTTTGGCCAGAGTCTAACGATGCCTTTCTTTTAAAAACAGAGAAGACGACAGGCAGAGGGAACCAGGCCCACATGACTGGTGGGCAGGCAGGCAGGCCCCGGCACCGCTCCCCCCAGGCCCATTCCGGGGGTGTGCCAACAGTCCACGGGCACTGTCTCAACGAGAGAGACCTGCAGGTAGTCCTCAGACCTCAGGGGTCACCTCCTAATAAGATGAAGGCAGGCAAACACGAAAAAACAGGCTCAGTCATTTTTCGGGGTCGGGGGGAGGCGGTAAAAGGAGAAAAAGGCCAAAGAATTCAATTACAATGAGAGAAAAGAACTACCCCTTCGTGCCCTCACACATGTTGTCACTACAAAGGTTTTTCAAATAAATACATGCTTAGACGAAAGAAATCAGAGACCCATAGGGTTTTAACATCTAAATTTCTCCTTACAACTACTTTCTGTATCAATTTGACATGTAACTAGTAGGAGCTATGAAATTCTTATTTCCTAGGAATCATATTTAAATGAGAATACAATATTATGCCCTGGCTGATGTGGCTCAGTGGACTGAGTACCGACCTATGAACTAAAAGGTCACCAGTTTGATTCCTAGGCAGTGCACATGCCTGGGTTAAGGGCCAGGTCCCCAGTAGGGGGCGTGCGAGAGGCAACCACACAATGATATTTTTCTCCCTCTCTTTCTCCCTTTCCCTTGTCTTTTAAAAATAAATAAAATCTTTTTAAAAAGATAAATTAATGCTGCTTTAAAAACATAACTGAGAACACAAGGTTAACATTTCTAGAAAACCTAACCTTTAGTTCTACCTTCCCTGCCTGACACCCCCAACACTGTCTTTTCAAACTCTCAATTACTCTTACTTCCTCATTTATATCCAGGCATGTTCTTTCTAATCCTTTAATGCACATTATCACTGTCTCTTTCTTAAATTCTGCTAAAAATTTTCATGTTACTCTACATTTCTGTGATTAAAAGAAATTTTAAAAGCTGTTGAAAATTTCAATTGTCATATTACATGAGAAAGAAAGCATTATAAAAGCGTTTAAGACCTAATAAGATTTTTCTTGAAAAAAAAAAAAGACTCGTATTCCTGTATAATATATCCAAAAGCAGTTATCAAATGCAATTTTGTTTAAAAATTATTTTTACAAAATCTTTTTGTCACTAGTATCAATGATATCTCTTTCCACCTTTTAAACAATCTTCTCTAATCCAATTCAGATATACTTATGTCCTATAATCTTTTGTATTCTGGGATAAATTAAATTATTTTTCCTTTTGAATTAACCTAGTTATTTATAAAGATGTGTTTCTAAAGTACAAAACAAAAGGTCAAATTAAAAATATGTATTTTGGCGGGGAGAAAAACTATGTATATACCTTTGATTTGTTAAGTGAAATTATGCAAAACACAACGGTTGACTACGTGTGTATGCACGAAGATTTTAACTCACCTGAAAAAAATTAAATTTTGCTTCTGAAGTGTACAGTGAAACATACGTGGACATTATTGCCAGGGACATTCATGAAGCCAACATCTCTCCTCAGTCAGGTGGCAGAGGCAAATGCACTTCCCTTCAGGCATCCTTAGTAAATTCTCTGACTTTTATAAAATATTCCCAGTCCTTGTATTACTCTACAACACTAAAAGGCAGCATTTGCCCTTATTTTCTGCTTCTTATTCTCACTGCCTCAGTAATTTTTGCTAGAATAAGCCCACATTAAAGAAAGCATAATGGTACTGGAATCTCTTCCAGAAATACCTGCGATGCCCCAGTCAGTTCTAGTCAACACATAACCACTGCCACTGAGCCCACCTGTTTTAAACATACCTTTCCACACCAACCTCAGTCTCAGAGGGCAAAACAATTACACAAATGCAAAAAAATGCTTGACATTTACCCTTGGGGAAATGAATTGACAAAGTGGACAACAGCAAAGCTGAGTAAAAAGACTTGTCTCTGTGTGAAACTGAACAGACAAAAGAAACCCTTAAATGAACAGCTGTGCACAAATCTCAAATGTGGACCATCTCCAGCGACAAGGAGTGGTCTTCGAATCAAGGTGGTTTCCATTTAAGAAAAGGATTCAGTTATCTTTTTCCCCCATGAAGGCCAGGCACACTATAGGCACTGATGCTCCGTCTGACACTGACCAGGAAGGAAGAGAACCCCCGCTACTTCTACACTGACTGAGGGGTTGGGTTTCAGCTGCAGGCGCCATGTTCCTGGAGAGGAAACCGAGGGGTGGATGCCAGGTTATAAAAACAACGGTTTCTTCTCCCCTGAGTTCTGTGGTCATTTTATTACTCTGTACATTTTTCCATACAAATCACGTTAACGTTAAATATATACTTCTATTAGGCGTACCCTCTATTTTCCTAAAAATGATTATTTAAACATACAATACCATTTATAAGAATAAAAAAGCAGTAAGTATTTAATTCAATGACAACTGCAACAGCAGTGCTTAAAGACACTCACTAAACAGGCTCTCAGACACCATCTGCCTAGAACGAAACACTCCCCCCACAAACACAATTTCTAGTTGCATAATGATTGGTCAAGCTTTTAGGCACCGTGGAGAAGTTCAGGTAAAGTTGTCAAAATGACTTCTGCCCAGAGCATTTCAGCGTGACCCATTAAGCAATCACCCATCAATACTGACCTTGCTGCTCACTTTCTGCTTCAGTTTTCGAAGAACCTGGTGCAACAGGAAGGGGTCGAGGTGGCCGGGGCTTTGGGGTGGGAGGTGAGATTTTTTTCCTTCCAATATATTCTACGTAAGTTCCTGGAAAGTCCCCTCTCTCCCCTGTGGTTTCATTGTAGCCATTCAACCAGCCAATTTCTTCTGGCCTGGCTTCCTGTCCATCACTGAATCCAAGAGCTACCAAGGACCCCTTATTCACTGTCAATACATCACCCAAGTGCAAGTCAATATCTTCTTCCCGCTCCTTTTTATAGTCATACAGTGCTCTGTACTGGTACGCCTCGGCACTCATGCTTGCAAACCTGTGACCATGCGACAGGTGAGGCTGGCTACACGCTGCAGGCTTGTTTATGCTTCTATGGAACGTGAACTCAGAAAGTGTGTTAAGATTCCTAGTATGTGTCCAGCAGAGGACAAAGGACAACTCTCCAAAGGTTTAAGAGAGGTGAGTGGCCATTGGCTGTCCATCTGTCCTCCATCAACGGTGCGACTGAAGACAGGGCTCCGCTTCCTTTGCCGGCCCCAGTTCTCGCACCGGCTTCCTTTTCAGCAGCTCGTCAACACTTGGACTACAGGCCGACTCTCTTGGCGAGGCCCAATCCTTTCTGACACTCCCGTCACACTGTCCATCTGTCGTCTGATTTTACTGTTGCACTCGATGCACGTGCTTCACCTAGCAAAGGGAAAACAAGACTTATGAATGAATATCACACTTTGCCATCTGTGTGAATTTGAATTTCTACTTCCATTCAACCAGTACTTAATCAGTCTGGCAGTTGTACACAAGCCAGCGTGCTATTGCTTGACACGGTATCGACGACAAAGATTTAGTGAGACAGTCCCTGCCTTCCCAGAGCACCAGGCAGGGGTGGAAACAGTGCTGGCGTGTGGCAGTGTCACACCAGAGATAAGACTGGTACACAGGGAAATGGCACACGAGAACATTAGGTAAATGCCAGAAAACAGCAGGGTCTGAACGCTGCGGAGCTCAGAGGAGGGAGAGACGACATCTACCAGCAGGAACCTGAAGACAGAATGGAATGTGTGGCACGACCTTAGATACGATGTGAGTAAGCAAATATCACGTTTGGGAAAGACCGAGAACAGGGAACCTAAACTGTCTAGAGGCAAAGAGGCAGCCTCGCTGGCTTCGGTCTATCAGTACTGAGGAGAGCAACTAGAACTTAAGGAGTTAAGGAAGTGAAGAGGAAGTAGAGACGGTTACTGCGGATTACTCTATGCAGATAGCTTAGTGGAGGGAGAAATGGGAAATGAAAGTTTTTTCTTTCTTTTTTTTAACACAGCGGAGACAGAGGAATTAGAGTCAAAGATTGTCTAAGTTAGTGAGTTAGTATGTTCACGTTGGACAGCCAGTATGAAAGTGTGCCCACATACACACTTGGCACCCCATTCATTTTACATCATTATCTTTATTATAAAGAGTCAAAGCAACCTGAAGGTTTCAGTTAAGGTGGGTGAATAATAAAGCAATAAAATCAATAGCCACACAATTTCTGTGTGCTATATCAAAGAGAGCTTGTGTAAGTTTTACAGCGTGGAATCCTTTAGAAGTTTAATATTATAGGCACTCTTCAGTGTAGGTATCTTAAGAAGCAAAATCTAATCACAGAGTAATTGTTATGTTGGCATTCAGAAGTGTGAAGTATTCAACTTTACATGGCTAAAGCCTCTTAGCTGTAATATAATAACACTCTTAGGAGAGTTACATATTAAAAGAAGCAAAACAAACACTGGAAATCTTTGTGTAGCAAGAATATTCATTTGGGTTAGCATTCTACTTTGTATTTCATTTGTTGGAGAAAAAAATTAAAGCAACCAGTAGAGTGGATGAAAAAAATAAACTATATTATATTTGAAGACAGCTTCTCTTTTTGCAAGATCCAGAATCAAATTAAATATTCACTGCATAAATTCACACAAAAATGTAGACTTAGCAAATCTCATTTTTAGTACAAATGTACTCTGTACAAATGAGACACAGAGCTCTAAAGAATATAAAAATTTACATATCCATAAATGACTGGAAACCAGGCAATACGCTTGAGAATAATGCAATTCCTCCAAATCTGCTTTGGAATTTTCGTTAGCTTTTCTAGGCAGTGTTTGTCTTTTTGGAGGAAGAAAAAAAAATCTCCAACCAGTAGGCTGGTAGATCTTTCCTCCAACTGCTGCTTATGGCTTCCTCTATTTCAACAACCCAGTGGGCCAGTTTGGTGAGATTCTTAACAGAATTTCAGCAATCACCAAGCCCCTGTTCACCACATACCTCTGTAGCTACCCATGTTCCTCACCAGGGGACACTGTGGTAAGAAAGGCTCCATGACTGGTGAAGATATTACAAACCTGAAAACCACACTTATGTCGGCCTGAGGCTAAATTTGTGTGAAGACAAAAATAACCCTGAGGAACCTTCTGGGTTTAACGAGGCCAGACTCTAAGAGTAGCAATCTCTGCCACATGTGCCAGAGACCCCCCTGAATGTCTCCACAAATTCCCCCTCCCTCACCATTTGCAAAAAGAAGCCTACCAGCCTGTGTAAGATAAATACTGCATAGGACCCTGGGCCCTCGTCTAATAAAAAGAACCCCAGATCTCCCGTGACTCTAGGACTGAAGGCCGAACACACCGCTCCTGCCTTCTGGGCCTCCACCATCAAGGCCAGGGAGATCAATGAAAACAATTCAAGATCAGCCAGGATTCAGTGCCAATTAAGTGGCTGAAGAGCAATGTTGTAAGAGAAGAGGGAGAGTTGAGTAGTCACTTGGGCGACAAGCGGATCGTGTCCTGAGGCGAGGTACACAGTGTCCTTGGCTAAGGAGAGGCAGGCACCACTCTCCTACTATACACCGCACACTTTCTCCTGGCCACCAGGCCCAGTTTAACGATTGTCGTTGTCATCATGGTCACCACCTGATACTGGGGAGCTGTTCAATCATCATCTAATATTTATGGGGAGCCATGTACGTATTCACACATTCAAAACAATACAATTCACACATTCAACAGCAAGATAATCACAAGGAAGGTACTATCGATGACTGTTACTTTACATGGGAGGAACATAGGTGCAAAGAACTTAGTATCTTGGCCATGACAACACTGAGCAGTTGACAGAGGGAACCAGGATTCAGACCCAGGCAGTCTGACCCCAGAGCTACCACTTTCGCCACCACTGGAGCCCTACTGCCCAAACTCAACTTGCTTCGATGCTGAAGGACAGCCCAGACACGCCCGTGGGGTCGACGGTGCAGATTCCTTGCCTATACACTCTGACCTCTGTTTTTTACTCTGAGACAGCAGCCTTACTGCCTCTGTGTGTGGCTCTTTCACAAATACACCTGCATAAAAAGAAGCCATTATAACTCAGCAGCAGTTCAGTCAAGCCCCAGCATTTAGGACCATGCAAATTTCCTTCCAAAGAGACTTCATTAAAATGCATGGTTGCCAAAGAAGTCCATAAACTAGTGAGTAAAAGAATATGGGCACATCACTTCTGGAAGGCTGCCCACTTCTGGAATCCTGCCCATTTCTGCTCTGTGTGAGCTTAAGCTTCTGCCACCTGTATCCCTGTGGCATCTGTGCCCGCTGTGGCCATCCCAGGCTCCTCACTGCACGATTTCTAAAAGCTCAGTTTTCCCTTAGGGGGATATGTAAAGTATCAATCCACAGTCAAAAGGCAATCACATCTGGAGGCCTGACAAGTTCTCTATTCTCTCACCCCCGAGTTCTCTGCAGGAATGCAGAAGGCTCAGTAGCCTGAGGCACTGGCAATGACCGAGCCATCCTCCAGAGATCAGTGGAGCCCTAAGCAGACAGATCTGCGGGGTCTATGTTGCCCAGATCCACAATATTTCACCTTCGGTCTCCTTGGCTACACACACCTGTCCATTGAAATATCTCTACCCAGCGCTAGCATAATTATTCACAAAGTAAAGGTTTTTTATATGTGGACAATATCCATCATCCATAAGTTAATGTTTTCAAATAAACAAGGTGATGCTATATCTAGTCTCCAAGCTAATGCATACATATGTTGCTGTAACAAAAAGTATAAAAGAATCTTACAAATAACAAATTAACTTACTCTTCTATTACATCATATGAACAGTTCAAACTCTCCTTTAAGGGAATGATTTTGCTCCAGGCTTTCAATTCTTTTAAAGACTATATGCAATATTGTTACTTGGAAGTGTATGTCCTCTCTCTGCTACAATACTGAGAAATTCTCATTCTGTTCCTCAAAATCAATGTTGTTTCTATGCCTGACAAGAAGCAACCATGACTTCTTAACATACAACTGCTTGAAAGTAAAATTTCAATTTAACCCTATAACCTACAGGCATTTTGGCAAAGACCTAAACGACATTCCTTGAAATGTCCTTTGATTTTGTTGACTTACTCATTACCCTTTTAAAAGGACAAGGATGTAGCAAAGTTGGTGCAAGGCAGGAATAAAGGGTATGTTTAAATCACTTTAAATAAACCAAGACTATATATCCTGATCATATAGTTCTATCCTGTGATAAATTAGCAACTTGGCACCAGGTCTCAGCACAAAGTGGGTCTGCAGTCCTGACGCAAAGGCTGTGGCGGGTCCTGTGCCCTCAGCCTCGCCTCCCTGCATCCCGCCTCGCCCTCCTCAGCGTGGCGGCTCTGGGCTCAGGGCAAGCTCCCCACAGAAGCTCGCAGTCTTTTTTTTTTTTAAGATTTTATTTATTTATTTTTAGGGAGGGGGCAAAAGGCAGGGGAAAGGGAAACATCAAAGCGTGGTTGCCTCTCATGCACCCCCTACTGGGGACCTGGCCCACAACACAGACTTGTGCCTTGACTGGGAATCAAACCAGAGACCCTTTGGTTCACAGACCTGTGCTCAATCCACTGAGCCACACCAGCCAGGGCCTGAATGTACACAGTCTTTAAAAAACAAAAATCATCATTTAAAAATCTTTCCACTTTTCAGATGTGTCCTAAAAATCTGAAATAAATATTGATAATAAATTGAATAAAATAAAAATTGAACTGAACAAAAGTCAAAATTTCCAAGTAAACATAATGAATTTCAACTTAAAATGAAGCATTCCAGATAAATGTCATGGCATATGAATTTTACGTTAATTAAGACAAAATTTAAAAGATGGGATCAAATGAATCCTGAAGTCACAGTCATCCAATATCTCCACTGATTTTCAAACCAACCAGAACATGCTGCCAGCTGCCATGCTCAGTGCTGAGTTTGTGCTGTGAGGAAGCAGGGTGTCCAAGTCAAGACTCCTGCCTACAAGCCCTTTTCGGGGTGGGGATTAGGGTGGGGGCCTGGGACAAACCCAGGTGAAACAACAAGGAGGGATAAGGAGGCAAGACTACCCAGAAAGCAAAGTGATGGCCTGCAGGAGGGGCAGAGAGCGAGACCCAGGCCCAGCTGGAGGCAGCTCTTAGGCTCAGAGGTCATCACCTGGAGGCAAGAAGCAAGGCTGATGCAGGCACTCAGACTGCAGCTTCCGGGGCCTGAGAAGCATCCTACCACCCAGGAATGGCCTTCAGGCTGACCATTCCGGTTCTCTGCACGATCACTGAAAGGAGGCCCTGAGGAGGCGCCATGGGATGAGAGGACTGAAGTATACGGTCTAAGTCCTTCCTCTGGTTAAAAAACAAAGCACTAGGCTTCAGACTCGGCAGCTGTCCCCGTCGGTGCCTAGATTTGCAAATTTGGGCAAGTTACTTAAACCTCTGTGTGGCACAATTTTAGCATCTTGGAGGTAGACACACAAAAAGCAAACCTATAGCTCATAGAGTTATTATGAAGATTAAATTAAATTGCATATATAAAGCACGGAGCTCCATGCTTGATAGTTAGAACTTGATAATTAAAAGAGCTTACTATGGGCCAGGCTTAATACTTACGAGTGTTGTGCCTATCTAACTCATTTAATCCTTACAGACACTGTAGGTACAATTATTGTCCCCATTTCACAGATGAGAAAATAAGCGGGGAAGTTAATTTGCCTGAAGTTCCATAACTAGTAACAGGCAGCTATGGTATTATTACTATTGCTACTACTATTAGTAGTAGTATTGAATGGTACTGCCATTTATACAATTCCTATTTAAAAACAGGAACATTTGCCAGGAATTTTCTTTTGCGTTGCCTCTAAATGCTGCAAACTGTTCTACAGGAGTCCTGGAGCTAGCCACAATAAAACTCTCTGCTGTCCCCTTAACTCCTTCTCAGAGTAAACAGACAGACTCAGGTAGATAAAGGCTGCTGGTGGACTTTGCCCATCTAGTCCTGTCCTGGCCTGAGGCAGAGGGTGTCTCTGCAAAGGTCAGAGCAGAGGAGACTCAGGAGGCAGCAAGGGTGTGTGGGAGTGTGTGTCAGGTAGGGGGTGGAGTTAGGGGACAACACTGGGCTCCAACAGGGTTTGCTTGCTCTCTCTAGCTGTCTGGAAAAGATGAGGGCACAAATGTAATCCTCCAGGGACTGAAGGCAGCAGAGTCCTCATGTTACAGCCTCACTTCTGGGGGCTGAGCCCTGAATCTGGACCACTGGGGGTCCAGTGAGGGGGCAGAGGGCAAGGCACAATGGCCCAGGCACCTGGTTTTACAAAGTACTCCACCCACTCGTAGAGTCTCCTTACATTTTGGCCGGATTCCTGTGATTTAAATAATAGGGGGAGGAGGAGTGGCTCGTTAACCTGAAAACTATTTTGACTACAGGTGCCTATAGGTATGTATTTGATTTGCCTCAAGAAAAACAATGCTGGGAAGATTTTAAAAATCTCCAAGGATGTTTTTATAGTAGGATTTTTTAAAAAGCAAAATCTATACTACATTCATTCTATGATTAAAAAAACAAAACAACTAACATAAGCCAAACAAAAAAGTTTATGGGTGATTGATTACACAGTCTATTTTTCCGCTCATCTGGCATAACATACATGAAATGGCTTTTAATTGCCACAGTTTTTGGCAAATTATTCCAATAACAGCATTGGCAGAATTGTGGCAAGTAATCACATTAAGGTATAGGTGAAGGAGCTAGGAGTTAAAAAGGCAGTAAATAATGTGAATATTTTGAAAACTAGTTACAGGCTAAGTTTTTGGTTTAAAAATGTTATGTAATTTATATTGTGCCTTCTAGGGTAAAAACTAATTGATAACCCCTTCCTTCTATTACTAAGTAACTTTCTCCCCTTCTTCGGGCTTCACTGAGACACTCCATTCCCTTGCCTTCCCTGGCAAACCCCTGTGCCCTCTCTGAAATGTACAGTACACTGAAAAAAGCACTTCCCATTTTCTCTGCATTGTGTAGGCCCCAGATGTGAGAATGAAAAGCAAAACCCTAAATGCAAACATCATCTCAGCTTTCTACAGTCTACCTGGCCACAAAATGTTTTTTCAATCTGTTCATGCACCATCTCTTTATTCAATAAAACACATTTTGCAAATTACAAGATGCAAGCACAATAAAAGCTGACCTAGAATTGTTCCTATTTCAATGAACAATCTTACAGAATACGGCTTTTTAGAATACTCCCCTACCCTACATAAGGAAAAAAATTTCAAACAACATACTAACGTAAAACTAACATGGCGTTCATGGAAAAACTTAATTAAAGTTCTGGCCAACACTTTTAACACAAAATTTGGGTAAGTGCAGTAGGTTTGCATTTGGAACACAAAACTCTTCTAAAATCAGCTGTCCCATGGATGATCCCAGCAGTTAAACACATACTCCCTCCACCACTGTCAATAACCAAAATATGTATTACCTATAATTTACTGTATACACTTCTGTTTTCCAAAACCAACCTTATGCTGTGGGGATTTCCTGATCTTAATATATTTCAATTTCAAGAAATAGCTAAAGGTAGGCAATAAATCAATGGGAAGTGAAATGCTTTTTTCATATTGGCTGTCATCATCACAGATGTGAAAAGACAGTGATATCATTTTACAAAAGTAGATAAAACAGATAACAGTGTGTACATTGCAGAGTTCTGTTATGCAACTGGCAAGAGCAGGCCCAAATCAAGATGAAAGTTTAAAAAAGCAAATGCGTGTACACTTTGAAAACCAGTATCAGATACATAAAACTTCTTCCAACCATGAAAACTTACACACTTCAACAAAAAAAAGTACGAATCTTTACTACCTACCAGCAACTGGCATATAAAAGCAGAGGCAGCCAACGCTGGCAGACCCAACTTCTGCAAGGCAGGCGGCCTCCTCCACTGGCCTTCCCAGTTTGAACTTTGATTCTGAACCAAACACACCTTCCCAAACTTCAAAAGGACCTCCTCTTAAAATCACTCTTAGGGTATTTTCTTTGTAGTGATCAGAATATTTGCTTCCCAAAGTTTAAGCAACTTTTGTTCCTAAAACACCCATTATCTTCTGCTTTTAAACTGATTATTTCAAGAATAGTGCAATCTGTCAAAAAAAATTATAACTGGGGGGGTAGGGGGTGCTTTTTATTTTCTTTTCAATAATAAAAGATGTTTGTAGGCTTCTGTGCTAAAGTCACCAAAGTCCCAATGATCTTACACCTTGAAGATGCATTACTCTGATAGCCTGCCTCAGAAATGAACCTGTTTACCTACTCCAACCTTTCCTAGCTAATAAATATCTCCCTGTCTTAAAAGTCGCCAAAATGCAACACAAGGTAATGAAATATTCAAATACAATTGCACCTTAAGCCCGAGTCAATAAGCTTTGAGAATGTCCCGCCTAACAACTTAAACTTGAAATGACACACTGAAATGACAATCTCATGCTGCATTCAAAACCCGGAACTGCTTTATCCATTCGTACTTCGTACTGACAAAGAGGAAAAGGAAAGAAAAAAAAACCCCTATGGCTTCTAAAGTCCTAAACCCCACCTCCCAGAAGAGTGAACTCATACTCAGGTGCCAAGACCGCGGCAGCTCCACCAGGATTCACGGTGAAAGTGAGACCTTTTCGATATTAACAGCGCCCAGAGAAGCATAAGAATGTCCCCCAGTCCAGTTCACACACATTCTGCATTCAACATGTAACAACCATTCTATTTACTCCCTTACATTTCATGCTCGATTTCTGGTTACCAAAGTACATTTCTGGACTGGAGTGGTTGGCCTGAGCTTTTCAGTTCTCTTTGTCTGGTGATCTGCTGGGCAGTTTCTGCCCTTGGGAAGTGAGTGTAAAGCTGTGGTTTTCAGACTGTTCCCCACGATATTTTAGCTCCGGCTTGCACGCTCTCTTACGCTCCCTAACCGGCTCCATATTGCTGAGCAAGTCCCTCCAGTCTGTCCCCGTGTTACAAAAAACTGGATTTCCGGCTGTTCCAAGACCCTGTTAAACGTGTCTCCAAGAACCTGCCCAGGCCCAGCCGGCACTAGAGGCTGAGTTGGGGCCCCAGCGATCAGCCGCCCCGAGGCGCACTTCCTCCACCCCGGAAGAGGAGGGAGGTAAACTTCGGGGAGGTGGGGGTAGCTGGTTGTGAGCTCCGGGGACCACCACCGCCCCGCCCGCTGGGGTAAGGGCCGCCGGCGTAAGGGCCGGAGCAGCGACCCTGGTTGCAGCTGGAGGGAGCGGAGGAAGGCAACGCTCCTTCCCTCCCGCTAACGCAAAGGCAGCAGTCAGGCAGCTCTCCTCCCGTGAAGGGCCCCGGAAAACTGCATAAAAGCGACAGTGAGGAACCTCAGAAATGTGCAGAGACTGAACGGTGGGGTAAAGCCGGAGGTTTCCTGCAACTCCAAGGACGGTTGTGCCCAACAGTGTGCTGAGCCAGCTCGAAAGGACCGGCAAACGGGAGCCAGACCGTTGGCCACGAGCCTGGCCCAGGGCAGGCGGGAGATGCCGGAGGCGAGGAAGACGGGCGACCGACCACTTTCTTCCCGCTCAGCTCCGCTGATGAAGCGGCTGCTGGTGACAGGAAGAGAGAGGCGACAGCCGCGCGCACGCACAGCCACCCCCTCCCAGCACACACACCCGGACCCGCTACCACCGCCTACCTCCCCTGCTGGCCGGCTTCCTTCCTCTCCCGGGCCGGGGCTGCAGTGGCGGCCTCCTGCACACACAGCTCCGATGCGCCTCTGGCCCGGCTCCGAATCCGGCTCCGACCCACCGGCGTTCCCGATCCGAGTTCTCGGTCTCCAACCCTCTCGCCTGCCCCTGCAGCCACTGCTTCCTCCAACTCCGCTCCAGCTGCTCGAGACTCCTCTCCGTCAGCTCGCAGCTCCGGCGCCCAGCTCCGTCCCCGCCTTCGGTCCAGCCCCGTGCGCCCCGCCCCCGAGCCCGCGCCAACCAGCGCCCGCATCCCCGCCCCTCTCCGCTGGCGCCGCGCCCTCAGCGGCTGCCACTCTCGGAGGCCGGCTCCCAACCCGGCAGCCAGGAGGCGGAGCTCCGCCCCTGCGGACCCTTCCTGTCGCCCAGCCAGCCAGGGCGAGCAGCTAGCCCTGCTTGCCTTCTGCCCCGCTGCGGGGATGCCCTGGCCACTGGGGCTTGCGTTACCTCCGCTGTGGAGTGCTTTGGGTTGGAGTCCTCCAGGCTGCTGCTCGCCTGTGTGGAGCCGGCTCGGCTGCTGGACGTCTCCCAGACCAGAGACAGCGGGGTTGGAGGAGGTCGAGAACAAGTTCAGACTTAGAGGCTGTTTCTCTAATCCCAGCGTCTTGAAACAAACCCCAGCCTCTTTCGAGCCTCCAGCCCCCCAGCACGGTGGCTGGGAGGACCACTCAGATTCTGGAGCAAAGCCCGGAGGCCCTGCAATTCCCAGCCTGGCCAGCACAGCCTCTGGAGTGAGCGGAAAAACCACGCCACCCGGAGCGGCTCCTCTGGGTGAAGGAGGGGTGAAAGGGTGAACCGGACGGACAAGTGCCCGCAGCCTGCCACAAAATCCACAAGCCTGGCACCGCCGCCACTGGGAGCCAGGCGGGTCCGCGAGAAGAGAGTTTTATGAGGGCGCACGCTGGCTGATCCCTTCCAGTCCTGAGATGACGGAGCAAATGTAGGTCGCTCAGGCAGACTGGAGTCTCAATTATTAAATGTTGGAGTCCTTTGGTTATTGTTCATAGGGTCGGCTGAGGAAGCTCACGTGAATTAAATTATCCCACAAATCTGTTAGCTTTCAAAGGCAGATTCTTCAACTAACAATCATTACTTAAGTTGAGCCCCCAAAAACCTGATTTTGGTTCAGACCTTCCACTGACAAGTAAGATGGGATACCAGCACCTTGTGTTCTTTTCTTTTCCATTAAAACATGTAAGAGTCGCTTTTCAAGAAGCTCTTCCCAGATTCCACCTTCTGCAGTTTGGAGATCTGCACTTTCCCAGCCTGCTTGCCCCAATGCCCTTTTTACAGCTCTTTCCCGATTTCCTTGTGAAAATCCTTGTGAGATTTTCACTCAGAAAATAAAATAAAAGAAAGTAATATTCCTTGTGAGAATATTACTTTTTTTTTTTAAACAAAGCACTTAGACTTTTGTCAAACTTTGAGTCTGGTGGTTAATTCCAGTGGACGTTGGAAGTAGAAGAAAGAACATTTTGAAATTTATTGACTGTCTTTACAAAATATAGTAATCGTTTTTAAAGGTGACTCACATTCTAACGGAAAAGTTCTACTTTGGGTTATTCAAGCAATGGCATCTCTGTGATTCCAGTATGTCTCCTGAAACGGCGATGCAGAAGCAGACAGCTACCAATATGTTTCAGAATCCACTCTGTCTAAAAGTATCGTAAATATGAAATCTACTAAGCTACATCCTTCCCACCCACTGTGTAAAATGAAGGGCCTCGTATGTTGTTTGTCTGAGCTTGGTAAATAAGATGAGGTGTCTCACCCTGTGGTTGAATTGCTTTGATCCAGTGCAATAGGCTGAGATGTAACTGCCATGATGTTTACTGCCTTTCCTTTGGACTTGGGTCCGAAGAAACCTTCCTAGCAATATCCTGCTGTAGATGACCAGCTCCTGGAATGGGACTTAGGCACTGCTACAACTGGGGTTCTCTTACCCTCGACCTAAAAATACCATGAAAGCCTAAATTGAGCTTCTTTTCTAGATGGTCTTTCGTGACTTATTTCTAGTGTATGTTTTAAAGAATTTTTTCCCCAACCTACTGGAACACATAGCATAAGTCCAAAGAGTATCTATTAAAGGACAATAGACCTTTTTTCATAAACTGAATAATTTCAGTCTGTGTCATCTGTATTAAATTGGTACCTGTCCCCATGTTACTAATATTAGCATTTTAATTTCTTTTCACTTGCCATTGATTTCTATGAAATAATAAAACAAAGGCAACAAAATAGCAGTATTCAAACTTTTAAAAAAGAACAACTTTTTCTTTAATAAAGTCTTCTCTGGACTCCTAAAACAGAAGTATTATAAGAAGCCATGTGGTGAGGCCAAGAATGCTGGTCAGTCCTTGGGCCAGCCAGGTTCTTATCTCCTGGGAGTTTGTTGGAAATGCAAATTCTCTGTCCTCACTGAAATCAGAAATACTGGGCGTGGAGCCTAGCAATCTGTTTAAATAAACCTTCCAAATGGTCTGGTGCATGCTAGGGTTTGAGAACCATTGCTCTAGGCCCATGGCATCCAGGAACTCAGACAGAAAACGACTGTAATAAAACACTCAAATAAGTGCACAAACACCACAGTTCAATCAGTAAAGACCAAACTGTTGGCTGACAGATGGTGCCACCATCAAGGAGCTCAAAATGTTAGAGGATGTACAATTTACCAAAGGGAGACTGACACATACCACTGGTGACAGTGAAGGTGTTTTGGTGGTCAGACTTAAGGGAGTTGAAACCTCCCACTACCCATCTCCCTGGCACCTTGAAAAGCTGTCAGTGGCCACCACAAATGAGAAATGTCTTCCCCAAAGAGGACCGGTAGGGAACTCTCATTCGCCACTATCACTCTGGCTACCTCATTTATGTGAGTTCTAGAATTTGCTTCCATTAGACTTGAGTATGTATTTTAGGATTAAAAAAAAAAAACAGGTAAAATAAATACAAAAGCCTTAGGGCCTTCCTTCCCACAGAGAGTATCATGGACCAGCATGGCTGGCACCGTCTAGGAGTTAGATAATCGAAATTCCAGGCCCTATTTCAGACCTACTGAATCATAATCTGCATTGTAACAAGATCCCCACATGACTGATATGCAAATTAAACTTTGAGATGCTCTGTTTTAGACAGGGGTCCTCACCCATGGCTATACATTTGGAATTGCCTGGGGAGTTTAGCAAAAAATACCACTGCCTGGCCTGCACCCCCCCCCCATGGATTATATCGAAACCTCAGGGGGTGTGACATGGGCATCAGTGCCTTTTAAGGTTCCTCATGTGATTCCAATGCGAAGCCACATTTGAAAGAACCACTGCCTGGAGGAAGGAGGCAGGAAACGTGACATCAGAGAAGTCAGCTAGGGAGAGACTGGAGCCCAAGTGGCTTGTCTTACAGGAAGCAATTGTCCAAAATCTACCTCTGACCCCCTCGGACCCTCAGAGGTTCTATCTGAACAGCACTTGCATTCTCTTGCTTTAACAGTCGCACATAAAGAATTCTGAGTTGAGTTTTCTTTAACCTTCCAGACCTTTCTCCCTTAGTGAGTACCTACTATGTACCAGGAAGTCCATTAGCTGCTGAAGTTATTCAACAATAAAAAGTGGCCCTTGAAATAACAACACAAATATTTGTTTCTATGTTTTATATTTTATCAAAATATAAAGTTTAGCTATTGTTGCCACACAGGGATGAGAGCCCAGATTTGCCAGACCTTTCAATTTTCAAAAAGAAGCTGGAAAGAAATTCAGATTTGTATGGACAGTTTCTCAATTATTAAATGTTGTCAGTTAATTCAAAATTTTTTGAAACCTGGATTAGGCCACATAAGTGTGATAACCACCAGTATATGGTTTTATGTACATCATAAAATTAAGTGAGCCTAAATATATATGTACAGTTGGCAAAGAAGAGAACTGACATGTCAGAGGGTCACACTGTTGATCTGCAGGCCATGTATTTTGAATCAACTGTTCACTACAGCACAAGACATTGCAGGCATTCAATGACTGAGAGTCGGTAATAGGTGAAATACCAGTGCTAGCAACCCTGGGGCAAAACATTACAGAATTTGCCTGATATTTTTATTTTTCCCTCTCTGCTATCATGGCTGAAGTGTTTGGGAGGGGGACAAATCAACCTTTGTATTGCTTAGCTTAAAATCTACTTTTGTGAGCTAACCAAGTTAAACACATATTTTAAAAAACACATGAAAAAATTTAGTGCCTGGAATACTGCTTGGCTTCTGGACTTGTCCAAACTGCTCCTCTGATCATAATCTCTGCTCTAGGCATCCTTATCTTTTCGAGCTCTCCAGTCTGAATACCTGGGGAGTAAGACTAAATAAGTCAGCCAGTGTTCGATGGAGGTAAATGAACCACCATAGGGACAGTGTCAGTGAAATTGTACTTTACTTGGTATCTGCTCTCAAAATCCTTTGTAATAAAGAAGCCAGACATAAAGTTACTATGCAGTAATGTCAGCTGAGCTGATAAAATATGAAACATAGAAACAAATATTTGTGTAGTTATTTCAAGAGCCACTTTTTATTGTTGAATAACTTCAGCAGCTAATGGACTTCCTGGTACATAGTAGGTACTCAGTAAGGGAGAAAGGTCTGGAAGGTTAAAGAAACTCAACTCAGAATTCTTTATGTGTGACTGTTAAAGCAAGAGTATGCAAGTGCTGTTCAGATAGGACCTCTGAGGGTCTGAGGGGGTCAGAGGTAGATTTGGAACAGAGCAACCAGGCCACCCACGCTGCTGGTCTACAAGTGGCGCTAAAATATCACTGGGCATGGGGCAGTGGGAAAGCCATGTGCAAGGAAAAATGAATCTTGGTGATGATATCCCACTGCATAAAAATTGACTGGAAATGGATCATAGACATGCATTTAAGAGCTGAAACTGTAAAACTTCTAAAAGAAAACATAGGTTTGGAGAATATTTTAAAAATATTAGCACACAAAAAGCATAAAAAGAAAAAAAAGCAACAAACTGGACTTCATCAAAATTGAAAAGTTTTGTTCCTTGAAAGACACTATCATGTTCACTTAGGGAGGGGAGAGGGTGGGGCTGCATGAAGCTCAGGAAGAGGGAAAATGGGAATAGCAATAATCATATAACTAATAAAAATAAATATTAAAAAATAGTCATGGGGATACAAAATATAGCATAAGAAATATAGTCATAATATTGTAATATCTAATTATGGTATCAGATAGTTAATAGATTTATCAGGTTGATCACTTTTAAGTTATATAAGTGTCTAGTAACTATCTTATATATTTGAAATTAATACACTATTGCATGTCAACTGTAATTAAAACATAAAAAATATTTTTAAAAAGTTATAAAAATAAAAAGCTACAGAAAATAGTTGCAATATATATATCTAACAAAATCTCACAACACAATAATAAAAAGCAAACAATACAGTTTTTAAAAAATGTACAAAAGATTTGAACACTTTACTAAAGAAGATATATGGATGGCAAATAAACTCACGTACAGAAGCTCAACATATTTAATTATAAGGGAAATGCAAATTAAAATCACAATGAGAAAGGACTTAAATAGATACTTATATGCCAGCATTCATAGCAGCATTATCCACAATAACCAGAAGCTGGCAACAACCCAAGTGTTCATCACAGATGAATAAACAAACTGTGGCATATACGTACAATGGATATTATTTGGGCTTGTGAAGGAATGAGTTATGATACATCCTACAACATGGATGAGCCCAGAAAACTTTCAGAGTAAATAATGGTGCGGCTCGAGGGATATTT